GGAAAGGAGGAAAGAGAGGAAGTCAAGAAGCAATGGGAAGGAAGAGAAGAATCTTAGTAAACAATATATTTGCTCCATAAACAATCGCTAATTGAAAGTACACGGTACTTTTTAGCTCGTATTTTTCTCATCTTCGTTTTCTTCATTTGTTACCTTCTTTGTTCTCTTTTTTTTTCCTTTTTTTTTCTTCTTGCCCATTTCTTTCTCTTCTTTCCCTCCTTCATAATTTTCTACCATCTCTTCATCTCCTTCTCCCGTTCATTCCTATTCTAGGTCCTCTTTCCATGCCCCTTGTTCCTTCTCCTTCACTTCCTCTCTTTTCCTTTCATCTATTTCCCCTTATTCTTCATCCTCTTCTTCTAGTGTTTTCTTCATCCTTCCATCTTTACTTCTTTTTCCTCCCCCTTCCTCCTCCTCTTCCTCTTTATTCTTCAGGACCACTTCTTTCCTCTCTTCTGCATCATCATCCTCTGCCACCAGTTCTTCCATCTATTCCTAGTCCTCCTCCTCCTCCTCCTTTCCCTCTTTCCCTTAATCTATCTTATCTCATCCTCATTCTCATCCTTATCCTGCTCCTTCTATCAGTTCCAGACTCGCCTTATCTTCATCTTCCTTTATAATTCCTCACACTTCTCTTTCTCTTCGTTCTGTTCTTCCTCGCCTCCCTCTTCCTCCTCCTCCTCCTCCTTTCCTCCTCATTTTACTTTTCTTATGCCTTTTCTTTCTCCTCCACCTCTACCTCCTCCTCCTCCTCCTTCTTCTCCTCCTTCTCCTCTTCTTACTACTCCTCTTCCTCCTCCTCCTACTCTTTTTCTTCCTCCTATTCATCTTCCTTCTTCTCTTCTTCTTCCTCATCCTCTTCATCATCCTCACCCTCTTCCTCCTCCTCCTCCTCTTCTTCTTCTTCTTCGTCCTCTTCCTCCTCCTCCTCCTCCTCCTCCTCCTCCTCCTCCTCCTCCTCCTCCTCCTCCTCTTCCTCCTTCTCCTCCTCCTCCTCCTCCTCGTTCTCCTCCTCCTCCTCCTCTTCCTCCTCCTCTTCTTCTTCGTCTTCGTCTTCTTCCTCCTCTTCCTCCTCCCCCTCCTCCTCCTCTTCCTCCTCCTCCTTCTCTTCCTCCTCCTCCTCTTCTTCTTCTTCCTCTTCTTCCTCCTCTTCCTCCTCCTCCTCTTCCTCATCATCATCATCCTCCTATTCCTCCTCTTCTTCTTCTTCTTCGTCTTCCTCCTCCTCCTACTCCTCCCTCTCCACATCCTCCTCCTCCTCCTCCTCGACCTCCTCCCCCTCCACATCCTCCTCCTCCATCTCCCCCTCTTCTCCCTCCTCCTCCTCTTCCTCCTCCCCCTCCCCCTACTCCCCCTACTCCCCCTCCACATCCTCCTCCACATCCTCCTCCTCCATCCCCCCTCCTCTCCCTCCTCCTCCTCTTCCTCATAGAATCATTGCCTTAACATGGGAGTGGGGGGGGAGAGGGGGTGGTGTGGGGAAGTGGGGGGGAGGGGAGCATAAGAGTGGGTGGGGTGGAGGGGCGGTGTGGGGGAGTGGGGTAAAGGGGGCATTAAGGTGGGGAAGGGTAGAGGGGCATAAAAGTGGGGGCGGTGTAGGGGAGTGGGGGGAGAGGGGGTGGTGTGGGGAAGTGGGGGAGAGGGGAGGATAAAAGTGGGTGGGGTGGAGGGGCGGTGTGGGGGAGTGGGGGAGTGGGGTAGAGAGGGCATTAATGTGGGGAAGGGTAGAGGGGCATAAAAGTGGGGGCGGTGTAGGGGAGTGGGGGGAGAGGGGAGTAGGAGAGTGGGGGTTAGAGGGGTAGGAAGAGCCATGGGTATCGTGGGAGGGGCCATTTGGACGCTCTGAGGGGAGAGAAGGTAGGGGCGCTCACGGAACGAGATTGAAGAGGAAAGGGTCAGCAAAGAATGGGGAAAAAAACGGGAAAAAACGAACGATAAAGAAAAAATAATAAAACACGGACTTAAATGTGAAAAGATGATAATAATAAATAAATGAAAAAGAAGAAAAAAAAACACAGAGAGACACATACAAGAAGATGAATCGAGTTAGAGAAAGAAAGGAAAAAACACAAAAAAAGGTAAATAAAAAAGCAAGAGAGGAGAGGCAAAAATGCATTTGTAGCACACCATAGACATATTTGCATATATTTGTTGCCTTAGGGGGTCACTAAAAGAAGGCTCTACGATTCTCCCAGAAGCCAATATTTGTTTGTGTGTGGACTTGTGTGTGTTTTTGTGTGTTTGTGTTTGTATGTGTGTGTGTGTGTGTGTGTGTGTGTGTGTGTGTGTACGTGTTGTGTGTTTATGTGTCTGCGTTTTTTTTGTGTGTCCCTGTTTGTGTGCGTTTGTGTGTGTGTGTTTGCGTGTGTGTATTTGCATGCCTTATGTTTATATGTGTTGTGTGTGTTTGTGTTGTGCTTGTGTGTATCTGTGCGTGAACCTGAGTGTTGCATGTGAGAGAATCAATAAATCGAACACAAAAATAAAACCAAATATCGACAGGTAAATGAGAAGAGAAAAATAAACAGTAAATTGCACAAACCAATCAAGCAACAAACAAACAAAATAATGTAATACAATAACAAACAAACAAGTTAACAGAAAAGCAAAAGACTACATAAACAGAGAGATCAAACAAGACAACAGAATCTAAGAGTGCTTCAAGGAACATCCACAGATCAGATTTTCCTCGTTGGATGTTGAGAGCAGACGCTTCCTTACCTTCCAGATGCGTCTTGGCTATTCTTACTTATGCCCCTAGGGAAATAGAGGGGATGGAAGGGGAGACAGAGAGAGATGGAGGGAAATAGAGGGGATGGAAGGGGAGACAGAGAGAGATGGAGGGAAATAGAGGGGATGGAAGGGGAGACAGAGAGAGA